AGAAGAGTTAAAATAGGAGAAGAAGAAGAGTTAAAATCTTGGAAAGAAAACAGTCCTGTCCAGTACACCCTGGTTCTCAATAACCTCGTTAATTGATGTTGGCTTATGACTCAAATTTAACAATCTCAATTCACTGAAACCCTCTATGCAAAACCCATGATATGAATATCAATCAGGTAACAGTTTTTTTTTATTCTCATTAAATAGAAATTCAATTAAATATCACCCACCAGTTTAACAAAACAAACACTGATTTTAATTCTAAATTAAAAACAATCATGATAATGATGATGACGATGATTCGCTCTCTGATTTGTTCTGGTTGAATTTTATTCATTCAATCACTCAGCTGTTCTTTTTTTCGGTTTTTCCTTATCTCTTCTGCCCCTTACTTATTTTTCTTTGTTCTCGTTAATAAGTCTTCTCCTTCACTTCGTTTCCGAAAGAATTTGCCTTGTGAGGAGAGTGACAGAAAGAAAGGAAGAGGAAAGATTGTGAATTTTAATTATTGACAATAATGTGAATTTTCATTTTTTTCCACTTCTCAAGTCATTCATTTTTAATTTCAATAAACTGCAATAATTATTCAGTGGAAAAGTGATTAGAAAAGATAAATATTTCTCAGTTTGTGTGACATAAATTCATTTGAGGGGGATAAATCTTAGAATCGAAGATAGCCGAATAGTAATAGTAATTGTCTCTAGGGTGAATACATTTGTCCTCTCGATGGAGGACAAAGAACGACCTCTAGTCTTAGTACTTCATATGTTTAATAAATCTTATCTTTGATTTTCTTGTGTTGGTTTACAAAGTTTTGATTGATTACAGGTCTAATCAGAAGCTGACATCAAATGGTGGACTACTGGAAAACTAGAGAGTACTGCACAGTGGTATACTCCTTACTTGGGACTCTTCAAACGTTCGCAGTCACCACCGAGGTTTGAACTTAGGATCTTCTGGTTACATGATGAGCTCGTAGATCACTTAGCCGTTTAGACCCGATCCAGTGGCCGGCCCATGAATTCCACTATATATACATTGCAAATATGTGCCAGCGTCTTTGCTGAGTAACTCTTCTCTTAAGTGACTTGATAGATTCTACTGGTGATGAATTCTCACTGGAACTCCAGGTAGCTTTCTGTATACAGCCTGTGGCTAGTGAGCATCAGATTTGATTGGTTAAAGATTGGATCATGAGATGACGCTAGCTAAACAACCAGTGGAAAACCAAAGAGTTGATTACCTTTTGTTTTAGGAAGACATCTTCACCAGCCGGGTTCACCAAGTCAGGTAAGAGAATAGTTACTCGCCTTTGACACTAACTGGCAGTTTTAATATGTTTCTTGCAGATTAGCAGAAGTTGGAATTCATAGGCTGGCCACTGGAGCGGGTTCCAAGTGGCTGTATGTTCCATTAGATTGCTCGATAGTCATAGGACTCTGAATTCGACCTCCGTCATTGTGTGCGTTATGTAGAGGAGTCTCAAACACAAATGACACGGCAGTTCAGTACTCCTGTAACTCTTTGATTTCACGAGTTTCGATTCATATTTGATTCAAAGGCATTGACAGTATATTGAATAGTAAGCAGTTATACAATTTATTTTTGTTTTTGTGATATCTCCTTGATCTAAATGAAAGCTTTCAATATTCGTCTAGCCACTATCTTCAATGCTTGTAACACAGAGCCTAGAAAACAAACGACTTGGTCAGTAGCTAAGATTCTCCTCCGTTGTCTAACTGTCATGAGGACATTTTGTCTAGTTTCTAGTTATTTATCATAAAACACACTCATCAGCAAGGATGTCTTTCCATTGACTTCATTCTCAAAATACAAGTGAAAACGCACTTCTCATAGATCTATATCCTAAAAATCGAAATGTTACAAGTATTACTCATTTGAATGAAATAACAACGGTGGAATTAAAATGGAGATGGAATGCTCCAAACAGCTGAATATTAGTTGCAAAGATCCTGGAAAGTGAGAGTGTACAAGCTTAAAAATATAGTTGCGTAAAGCTGGAATCAGGTCGTCATTTAAACTAACCATTTAACTTAGAGATAAGTCTTGAAGGTTTCACGACATGATTGATTCAGATTAGAAAAGATGATAATTTACCAAATGCAATGTAATGAATGTGAGATCATCTTTATTTATTTATTATTCCCCAACAACACATCTCCACTTCTATCCTTTGCTGTCCTCTCCAGCTTCACGACTGACCACAATCACTCATCTCCTCCAACTCACACAATCTCCTTTATGTCAGCTCGCACCGATGACACACTCGTTGCTTGCCATTTGGATTACACTCGAGCAATGGTTTGCATTGCGCAGGATGTTACTCCGCAACCTCCTGAACTTATATCCAATCTATCCATCTCCATTTTATTCTATATATTTGTTGGGTAATCGGCTCTCTCCTGGTTGATTTGTTTTCAGCCAGCCAGAGTCTGCATTAGCCTGTTGAAATTCCTTTTTGTGACATGCTGGCCTAGTTTCTGACCAGTACAGAAAGACCGACCTGACACTGGTGTTGAAAATCCTAATCTTGTTGTGTATAATGAGTGAGTACAGAGGATTCTCAAACTGATTTCAAATTTACGAAGGCATATCTTGCATTTTATCTTCTGGTTGGATTTGATATCTTCATCTGTTCATCTGCCTAGATAAGGGAAGGGAATTAACCTCTGTCAAATCTCTCCCCTTGGTGGCGATTGTTGCTAGTTGTTCTTTACTGTTGCTTTTGGGTGGTTATCTTCATCACTTCCGTCTTCTCTATGTTCATCTGGAGTCTTCATATGACAATTTTGATAATTCACATCCATTCCATCTGCTCTTGCAGATACCCAGTACTTCTGTGACATACCTTGGCATTTCTTTGGCTACCTGGGCAGCCTTCCCAGACAGTCTCATACATTGTACGTACATTCAACGTACCCATTCTTATTCTTGCGTTCATCGAAAGAAGACACATCATCTGAATGACTGGCTTCCTGAGGCCACCATTCATCAGCCCACGGTGTCATTTCACCTCTCCAATTCTAGCGAAGAATATGATTGTTATTTCGATTTTTTGTATTTCCAACATATCTTTTGTGCGTTGAATTGTATCTAGCAGTTTTAATAGCTTTTGTGGTGTAGGATCGCTAGCTCCACGGCCAGCCTTCCCTATTTACCCGGGCTTGGGACTGAAGAGAAAACTAGCAAGCTAGTTAACTAGGCGAGGTTGTGAAATCAATTACATAGGTCAAATTAGTAGATCGTATACATTTAAGATACTAGAAGAAGATTCCTCTACTGAATGTCGTTAACTATGAATTTTCTTTTACTCTGTGGGGTTTCAAGATACCTCATCACAAGCTTGAGTGAGTGCGTCGGTGGCACAGTGGTTAGGATTTTCGCCGACCATGCACATGGACCGAGGTTCGAACCCCCGCCGACGCACACCTGATATCTATGGTCGGCCTGCAAAATTTGGGCTACCGATATCCATGCTGAAAATTCCATACTTGTACCAAAAATACAGTGCGGAATCAAGCTGTAAATCAAAAAAAAATAGAAAAAAATAAAATGAGGGAAACGCAAGACCACTTATGTTGTTTGAATCAATATTTCTCACTATGTAATACCTATAATTAGAATGTAACCTTGAAAATAATAAATGAAAACGGGATTTAAGATCTTGATGGCATATTCAGATAGGGATTAACAAAATGAGTTAAGGCAACGATTAACAGTTTTTAAACATGGATAAGGGGCTTAATTCTGCTGCTTTTCATCGCCTTAGTACGTTTCAGTATGCATCTGTGACGTTTCTATAGATAATATTATTTTATAGAATTCCTATGATACATATCAGTTATGCGTTTTACTATGCACCATGTTACTAATCTGCCACTTAAGGCCTTTGGGAATTCACAGCTCATTTGTTTTTTCAAGCAGTATGGGTATATTCTTTTCTAATCTTAAGTGCAACGTATGATTACTGTTCCCTAAACGCGTGAGTCCACACATGTTAATCGATTTACAATACAGGATGCTTGAAAACACTAAATTCAAGACATCCCATAACGTCTTCCGGATGAAAATTACGAAAATTAAAAATCAGCGTAGCTGGCGCGTTTTTCTGCAGAGTGTAAAGCTAACCGTCTGAAGTCTGACAGTCACACCTGCATGAAATTATTATTCAGTAGACAACATTTAATTCAGAAAGCAATATTCAGCGAAGAGACTCTTTTCAACAACGAATATTTTATCAGTCGCATATATGTGGTTTTTAAGAAATTATATCCGGTGGGGGAATAAGATCAGAAGTGTGAACACATGAAGTAATAACAGCAGTAGTATGAAATGCAATTAAAATTAAAATATTTGTGACTATAATCATAGTTAAATGTCAAGTAGCAAAACAATCGATATCATATATAGAATGATACATAAGGTGTATAGATGTTGGGAAGAGGTACATACTTATAGAATTACTAGGCAAATATAAAATTTTATATAACATGGTGTGAAATTTGATATGATAGAATTCAGTATTCAGTAAAAATTAAAAAAATTAATAATTTTCGTTTTAGAATGACAAGTGGGACAAGTGGAAACAATTCAGAGTGAAAACACTAATAATAATAATAGTAGTAATGAAAGAAGGCTTCATAGATTTACTAAGTAAAGAATATAGATAGATGTCTATCCCTCTATTGCCAATGGAGAAGTAGAGATTGTACATACTTCTTTTGTACAAAGACGTCTGGCTTAAAGTCATGAATTGCCAAGGCCTCCGCTGTCTTTAGATGTCTGTAACGAAGAAAATGCGGCCAGCAAGTTAACATGGATTCGGTAGATGATCTTAAAATCATGGTCAGGTTTGGCAGAGTGAGAGAAGTAGAAAAACATTCACTTTTAAACACATATTGTCTATGTGAAACTTTATTCATTTGAACTTTTTTCTATCGCATTTTCTGGGTTTTTTATCCTTTTTGATTTTTCTTTAGTTAAATCACCTTGATGACCAGAAACCTGTGAAGTCGCAAAAAATGACATTACGTGATTTGATGCAAATTACCCAGCATACAGTAAGTTTAAGCCTTTTGCATATTAACTAATTGATACCTTACTGATTTGTTTCATTCCTTTACGTTCCCAGTAGAACTTCAAGAGCTTCAAGATAGAGCTCTGAAGTTTCGGTAGCAGTGGTGTCTATTTTTTACGGTGGGTTTGCTAGCCTTATGCCCAACCTTCCTTCTTTACCAGCCTTGTAACCAGTTTAGCGAGGTGAAAGGAGTACTTCGTCTGGGAGTCAAACGCCGAACCATCTGTGTTGTTGGAGGGCAATTAATCGCAGCGGTTTCAAAACTACTGCCCAGTCAACACTGTCTGTTGAAGGCCTTTCCAACGTCAATGAAATTAAGGTGCAGACTTGACTGCCATCCTATGCTTTGTTTGATGGTAATGAACTATGATCTATTTATATTCTATCCCCATACAACTTTCAGAATAGTAATGTCAGAGATTCGACCTTATTTCAAAGCATTATTGTAAGTTTATTTTAGTAATCACACAGAGATGATGTAGTATTAACAACTGGATGACAAGTTTTCAAGCATAAACTATTGCCACTCGTAATCATATCATATGATACGGCATCCCTGTGTAACATTTAAAATAAACTTATCTAATATGCAACCCATACATTTGGTTCCCTTGAAAAAATTCGATAAAGAAAGGAAGACGAAATTTGCAGTATAAAATGATATCATTCTATTTCACAGGTTCTCATCAGCTGCAGACTACCTGAAATTACAATGGTTTTATATATGATAATAACATACTTTAATGTTTGAGTGGTGGTAGAAAAGAGATACTGTAAAATTGACGCATCCAAAATGAAAGCATTACAATGTTTTTAGTTTAAGTTTTCATCATCAATTTATACGCTTTTAAAGTTGAAAAGAGGGGAAGGGGTAAGAGAAAAAACAGAAAAATTGATTAACAGAATAGTGTTAGCTTGTAAGTTCACATAGCAACTCAAAAAACAAAAGCGGTTACAGTTTATGAGATTAAGATTTGTTCACTGAGTTGAGATCCCTGAATTAGATGACTAATCAAAATCAAAATTCTGTTACCAAGGGAGTGAGAGGTTAATCACACTCTCTTTCTGTATGCATAAGTCTGGTTTAAGTCGTTTGATTGCGATTGCTTCGGCAAATCGTAGTAAATTTGCTGTCCTCTGTCTATTTAATATTTTGAAGGACTTAGAAATCTCCACGAGATGTCCGGTATCAACAATGTGTCTAGTAATTGCACTCTGGGAATATCTGCTTCCTTTCAGGCACAGATATTTTGGGAATATGTTCAGAAAACCGTACTGTACTTTCTGTCCTTCCAATGTTCTTGCTGCCGCAAGTGGACGTGAATTCATAAACGCAGTTGGAGGTGATATCAGCAGGGTATTTATCCAGTTTTGAGTAGATTAAAAAAGGAGTGGTGCTGTATACTGTTATGAGTTCTACTGCCGGAAAGCTTCTATTTATTGCACCTTTCAATCTTTTGTCAATCTTTTGTGACACTGCATCTCCTTTGTATGGTAGATAAATAAACACTTTTTTCTTTTCAACAGTTGGATGCTTTTCTTTCCCATCTTTTTCTCTGCCATACTTCTGTATAAATCCCTTAGGGTATCCATTTTCCCATAGGCATTTCTCGACTAAATCTAATTCTTCTTCGACCCTGTTTGGTGAGCATAGCTTCCTGGCTCTGTCGTACAAAGTCGTCACTAATATGGAATTACATTCCACCAGAATGCCTAAATTCTAAACTTGCATTCATAACGCTATTCTTTTATTAATTATGGATGGGCAACACTTTAGAAGATGATTGCGAAGTTATCGAGAAGAATATTCTTTGTTCAGTAACCAGTCTTTTGAATGTACCTCAATATAGAAAATATTTTTCGGTAGATTGAAGAGTTTCCTTCACATTCGATTTTATAATACTCAAGGATATTTTTCTATGTTGGTACTGAAGACACTATGTAAAGCAGAATGAAAAATTCTCAGTTAAACCATTCTGACTAATGAATATAACAACAACGAATACATTCAATATGTAGTACATAAATAAATCCAATTTATCCCTCTACATTTACCGTACTGGACTGTGCTGGTACAGTGATAGAATACTCGTCAACTGTGTGACGCGTGGCCTGAGTTCAATTACGGGTCAACGCACTCTTAAATCATGCTTTGATGCTGCTAAGCACGATAAAACAGAAAGATTAGGAGTCAGGGTAACCACTTCACATCGTGAATAAAGAACATCGTTGCTAGTTAAACTTTAAAATTCGAGGCTGAAGCTTGGTGTTCCACTTGAAGCCCCAAGAAATGAAACAAGTTACATTTACTTAAGTATTAGTTCAGCTGTCTGCTTGTGATGAAGACAATTTTCACGTTTGATCAATACCGTGTTTAAGAACTTAGTCCTAGGAAAATTGCTACCTCTTGAGAAACGCACTTTTTATTTATCTACCAAAATATCTACCGAACGTGTTTCATTTTACAAAGTTGAAAAAAATGATTTAAAATGATACTATAATTAGAGTAATTTACTGTATAACTTGTACATTGATAATCCCTTTTTTTGCTTACTACTTAATACCATTTACAAATATTTAATAATAGTAGAAGTATACTTATTAAGTGTAGTTAGATAGTTTCAGTCAGACAGAGTACTTGAATTAAAACTACTCAAAGTTACCTGTACTTTTTTCATCAAAGAATATCGAATGAGGAAATTGTAAAAGCTTTATATGGACGATTCCTCTTTTCTCTTTAAATTAATGGAGAAATTACTCTTAATCCACCTTGTGTCCTATTTAAAAAGTACTAATGAACGCGAACAGTTTGCTTGTAGGCTTGTAGGCAGAAGTACTTGAGATGCTGCCAGTGTATACTATATCGCAACATTATCTCCTCCTTAGACAAAAGGGTCATATAGATACATTGTGCCTCCGTCGACTGTACACTTGCTTTTGACTCAGTATCTAGATGCCTTTTGGTAAATAAGCTTTCCCTCGGACAAACCGAGTCCTTGGCTGTTAACTGGTTTCATTCTTATCGCTCAAATAGAATGCAATTTACTGTGTATATACGGCTGAATCTTCCTCTGCCTTGCTTACTGAAGCTGGTGTTCCTCAGGGCGATGTTCTCTCACTTTTACTTTTTTCTTTCTTCTTACGTGACTTACCGCCGCCTTCTAACGAGATCAACTACGTCAAATATGCTGACGATCTGACAGTCTTGCTTCCTGTCAAATCCCAGTCAGACTGTTGCAAACTTAATTGGTTTTAGTCGGACAGCAATCAGTGGTCTAGGCTAAATGATCTTACATTAAATCTCTCAAAATGCCAGAATGCTGACATAAAAGTGATCTAGAACGACTGGCTAGTGCATGCAATGCTTATAGTATAGAGCGGACTGTAATGGTAACTTAGTCTAACACAAGATATTTTCTGACCTTTGACATACCCTTTACTCTCACCTATTCCCTTGCATCTCATTTAGAACTAGACGTCAGTACAAAAGATTATATACTCATACTAACAAGTACAGGAGCTCAACGATACTATATTTAGCCAACCTGTGTCCAATGCGATAGAAACAGTTAAAGTGTGAAACTCATGAATTACTATGTTGTTAGCAGAATAATGGGCTCTTTCATTACCTCCTATTTCTTATCATTGCTGACACTATCTCAGCTAACTGACAATCTTAGCTACCAACATTATTATTTACGATTTGTGCGTCGGTGACACAGTGGTTAGGACTCTTGCCGACCATGCACATGGTCTGAAGTTCGATCCGCTGCCGATGCACACCTGAAATCAATGGTCAGTCTGCAAAATTTGGGATTCCGATATCACATGCTGAAAGCTTCATACTTGTACCAAAACTATGGTGTGGAATCAAGCTATGATCAAAATAAAAATAAAATAAATTTTTCGTATTTACGTACGACTTCACTGCCACTACAAATACCAAATAAGAACTGTCAATAGCAATCCTATAATATTATCTTTATAACTGTTTTTAATGCCATTCGATAAAATTAAACCCAAAGTTGTACCAAGTGCTGAAAATTCCACACTTTGCCATTAGTACTGTTTTTGGAATAAAGCGATTTATCACTATTATTAAAACGATAATTATTATTCCCATAAGATAAAATTCAACAAATATCTTGCTTTGGTCAACTAAGTAAAGGTGTAGTTAAAACCATCAACAGTTCAATATTGAACCATCTACTTCAAACCAGCCACAAAGCCACCGTCGAAGAATCCTTCTCTGTCATCTACTGGGTGCCTAATAAATTGCCAAAAACATCGAAGCACCGCATGCTCCAAACAGCAGAGGCTAGTGCGATTCACGTGAAACGACCAGTGCTCTGTGTACAAAAGAATCAAATCCAGCCCCTACTACTTCCTTTGCCTTCAGTAGAGGCTATAAATTCATGAATTTGTACTATTATCTTTCCTAATTTTTCTGACATTCAGCTTATTTTATGTTGATGCTACTGAACTGTAATCTATTGATATTATTATTGATTCGATGTTATTTAAACAACATTAATGTTGTCCATAACACTACTATGTAGATATAACTGTAGAGCCTGATGATGAAGGGGTTATCGAAAAGAGTACTCTTTGTTCAGTATCCATTCTTTTGAAAAGTCATACATTAGCAGTATCTCTCCTAAAATGAATTTAAACATAATACAATAAAGTGTCACAACATGAAAGGTGATATAGAGCATCTATTTACATTACTGAAAGGATTTTACCTTCCTGTATGAAGAATGCCTCCCTAAGTCGACTAAATCAAATCTCATTAATCACTAACTAACTAGTGGTGTATTTATTTTGTTGTTATTTTTGTACTTTATTGAAAATGCAACGATATCCAAGTCATATTTCATTGTCTAACACCGTTTTTTTCGCCGTCTCTTGTAATGAAACTCTAAACAAAACAAAACAAAACCTACATGGTACTGAGACCACCTTGCTAAAGTTGTTTTTGTT